TACTACTATATGTACGCGCGACCACTGCAGGCGAGATAGTGGGTAAATAGAGAGACACAGAGAAAAAAGGCAAGAGGGGTATGGAGAGGGGAGTGAGAGAGGGGGTAGTGGGGGGAGAGGCCAGACGAAGGCGTCTCGAGGTGGAGGAGGGTAGTTGAAAGGGTGCCGCCAGGGTGTCAGTAAGTGGTGTCAATTAAGTGTCAATTAGGGTGTGCGGTAACGGTAAGTGTAAAGGGTGCCGCCAGGTAAGTGGTGTTAGATAAAGGGATAAGTGGTGGTATCAATTATTAGGTGTCGGTAAGTGTAGCAGATAAATAAGTGGTATCAATTATTAGGTGTCGGTAAGTGTAGCAGATAAATAAGTGGTATCAATTATTAGGTGTCAGTAAGTGTAGCAGATAAATAAGTGGTATCAATTAAGTGGTATCAATTATGTGGTATCAATTATTAGGTGTCGGTAAGTGTAGCAGGTAAATAAGAGGTGCCAGTAAGTGTAGCAGGTAAATAAGAGGTTCCGGTAAGTGGTGTTACGTAATGGTGCAGGAAGTGATGTCCGGATGCGCGAAATGTCAAGTGGTGGTGGGGGGTAAGTGGTGGTTGCGTAATGGTTAGTGTACAAAAAAAGTTTACAGGTGTCCCCCCTCCCCTAGGCCTTCCGTCCGTGTCCCTTTATCCTCACACCTTTATAGTGTTTGTGTCTCAGTGGCATGTGACCAGGTGACCACTTAAGGGGTGAGCGCTCCCCCCCAGACTGGGATGGCTAGCTGGCTAGGCTAGGCTAGCCACAGCCGGTATGTAATAGTCTTTTTTGAGGGTGTAGATGTAATAAACAGCATAAGCAGAAATGGATTTTTGTGAACGAATTTATAGTCACCAAAAAAAAACAGTGTTTTGATGTTAGGTTGAAGCAGGAAAAGGAGCCAGGGATGCAGCCAGAGATCGAGCCGTGGATGAAGCGTCAAGCCATTACAGACACGATTTCCGTCCTATAAATAAATGGTTACAAAAGTAAAGACACAAAGAAAATGAAGGCAAGAAAGCAACATACCATTCAATCAAGTCGACATTGTCAGGTAAGAAGATTCGACGCCTCCCGGAGGGCATAGAGCCACCTGGCATTTTAGGTGATTTTCGAGGGTGATTCTAGGGAGTCGATGGTCCCTGGCGTCTCCCTCACGGTAGATGTGTCCGCTTTCCAGCAATTTCATAATCTCCTCATGAAAAATTCGATTGTCTTGTAGCCCATAGTATCGATCCGGCTCCAAGAATAGGGCAGCTTTGCTGCCAAATTTGGCTAGCTCCATAATACTCTGGATAGGGACAAGCTCGAGCATGGCGAAAACGAATGCGTAGAATGAATGAACTGGCAGTTGTCTAGAGTTTTATACGCAAGTGTTGACGGTCTGGGAGGCGGAGTAATGGTTTTGAAAATTGGTAGGTCTGTTCTGAAGGATATCCCCCACTCCCAGGTCTGTAAAAAGAATGCACGTGTTTGCAGTAAAAGACAAAGCTTGCTTCACGAAAGTTTATTCGGCAGGTTATTATCGATTAGTATTGGTAAGGCTGTTAGCAGAGGATCAGAAAGCAGAAGATTTGGTCGGGAAACGTAGATCAACATTGTGCTGCTGGCAGGGCTGACAGACCATGACCTGAAAATACACCACATAGATACGATTGTAACACGGATATAAAAAAGATAGGGGTAAAACTCACCCGAAATACAGTGGGGTTTTCCTTTTTGATGAGGGAGGTAGTGGTAAGGCAGTCATTGCATAGGGAGATTTTGAGAATACCGTCACGAGGCCCAATGCTGCACGCCATCTGCTTCTGCGTCATAGTGCGTGGCTTCGAATCGGTACGAGTCAGAAAAGGGGTGATGGTGGCCTCGGCAGACATGGACGGGGAATAAAAAAATGGAAATGAAATAAAATGAAATAAAATGATATGTCTATGGGGTGGAGCCTCAGCCACTGGGCGGATCTTCGACTGCAAATATTATAATTTTTTCTCACATCTCTCTCATAATTCTGAGCTATTTCTTACAAATCTACAGTATACCCGTCACCCACTCACCTCCACCCCTTTCTCTGTACCATCTCACACTTCCCCTCTCTCTCGCGCGCCTGTGTTACCAGCGGATACGAGCCCCCCTGGGGGGGTGTGAGTATGTGTTGGCAGTCAGTTGACACCAGACTAGTGGGACGGGGAGGGAGGGTACGGTACCCGTCCGTCCCGATTTGTCTTTTTATCCGTAATTATGCATGTTTTTACCCTCTTATTTCTCGTTTTTTCTCATAGAATAGTGACTGATTTTGCTGATTTAAGAAATGTCCGACATTGCCATTGATTACCCCCCTGACAGCCGTTGACTCTGAATGGAGCCTTGGGATCCTGGATGAGCCACCCGTAGATGAAAACGATGCAGTCTCAACCCTTGAATATAGCCCTGAGATGGGTTTCTATCCCGGATGGGAGTCCTGGGCCACCGATAACCCCCATGTCCTCGATTTCTGATGAAAAATATACTGTGTCAATTTCGCTGTGCTAATAAAGAAATTTCAGATGATGTCGTCCCGATTGGTCATGATCGAAAGACTCAAAAGGATGAGCGACGAGGACTGGGAGCGGTCGCTTCTGTGCAGGAAGTTGGCCAAGATGGAGGACATCCCTGAGGCACAACCCGTGGATGTGCAGATTTCCGAAGATGAGGAAGAGCCCGAGGTCGACCGAGTGGGCCGTGAGAACGGCCATGATATGGAGGCCTTTTGGGCCGCACACCGGAGGCTGGGCCCTACATGTGGCCAGCCGACCAACTACGACAAAACGCCTGCTTCATCGGACAGCGGATCTTGGAGCGAAGATTGGAATGCTTCCCCGGATAGCAGCGTAGACCCCGTTTATGAAAGGGACTACGAGGGCGACGACGAGTATGAGGACGACGAGTAAAAAGGGAGGCCATTTTTTTCACAGCTTTTTTTCGTTCATTGTCGCTCAATATCTCTTTGCGCGGCTTTTTCTCTCTCTCTCTCCCTCTTTAGCTCTCTCTATATCTCTCTCTCTCTTTACCTCTTTTTGCTCTTGGACCTCTATTATATGCAAGCACATACTAACGCCTTTTTGGAATCACAATATGTCTCTCCCTCTTTATAGCTCTCTCCCTCTCTCTCTCTCTCGCTCTATATCCCTGTCTATCGCTCTTCTACCCATCCCCCCTTGATTTTTAATAACCTAACAGTCTCTTGTATGCAACGTTCCTGTCTAGGTTTTCACTCGTTCCTTAATTTTTTATAACAAGTGTATGTAGCTCAGTGTCCTTTCTTTATTCTCTCTCTCTTCCTCTATCTGTGTAGACTGTGTCTCTAAAAAATACAAAAAAAATTTTTCGACTATCATGGTGAACTTTGCCGCCCTCCTCTCTACCATCCCCCTTGACTCCCTCAACTTTGGAGGCGGTAATCATGTAAGCCTATTACCCCTTTTACATCTAGATTCTTTTAATCTATAGACCGTCCGCGATAGGGCCCTCCTCAATAGATGGTGGGGGGCCATCGGCGGTACCACACCGCTAGTACAGCACCGGCGAAAAGGGGTGCCAAAAAAATACATTGGTGTCCCACCGGCCTGGCTGAAGCCGACGGTCCCAAAGGCTCGGCCGGTGCCACCACCGACTGCTCAGGTGCCACCGCCGGCTGTCCCCGTCCATACCCGCGCCACGGTGGTCCCGGCTACTCGAAAGCCTGAAACGGAAAAAAAGGTATCCCCGTTCTGAAACACCACCAGTTTAGTCTCTTTAAGATGGTCGACAACCGACCCAGGGGATTGAGCGATGTGACTAATCGAAGAAAATAATCATGACTTGATTTTTTGTATCGCGTGTTTTTTTTCTCATGTCCTGATTTTTCGTGAAGTATACCATGGCTTTAAATAAACATTTCAGATAATATCTGAAATGGACGCCCACGCAAACGCTGTGAACGCAATTTTGTCCCAATGGGCACACTGGTATCAGGCGAACGGTATAGCGTTAGTGTGAGTTGCAAGGTATTTCCTGTTATAGCCGTCATGTACTGGAATCAACTGATTCCTTCTGTATCCACGCAGCCATTGGTGCCTTTAGGACAGGTAGGCAGATGAGTAGCAGCCTATGTAATCGTGATTAGGATGCTGCACAGGCTGCGTCTCCCCCTAGATTCGGTTCTTCAAGGCCCAATAAGCGCACGGTTAGTTTGTAACAAACGTATAAAAAACATGATTATAGCGAAAGACCAGAAGAGATGCTGGCCCTTCAACTTCTTCAACGTCTCAACCTTCAGCCGAGAAAGCGTCTAGAAAGGCAATTTAAGTCGTACTAGAAAACTGTTTTTCGTTTCAGAGGAAGTCTGCTGACGCCGCCGAAACACAGAAGGATTCAGTGTTTAGGTCGATCGACCGACTTTTGTCCATACCCGTCTCAACCACAGTGGTATTTCTTTTGGAAAAGCTGACACTCTCCTTAGCCGTGTACCGTAATGCGTGGAGGCAATGCGGATGGGGACGCCGATGACCTACACATCGACAGTACCCGGCTGTTTGAAGGTGTGTTTAGAAAAATCACATATACGTAACACTTTCAAGAACCCGAATTGGATGCGCAAACGCTCCGGGAGATCCAGGAAGAGCTGGATGGCCAAGGTATCGGCATGATCATCAAAGGAGAATTTTTTAAGATTTCCGAATGGAAATCAAGCATGCAGATGCCAGGGGGCTAGGACTGGGCCAGGTGCAGGCATCAGTCAAAGTCAACCCGGTCACCGTCGTCAACAAATTCCCGACAGTCGTGGACGATGTGTTGCAGCAATGCTTCGCATCGTTCAAATACGATGACATGGTATTTTTTCAGCTGGTCTTGTCAATCTAAGAGTTCCAGGAAAGCCGTTCATTTTCCCTGCAAATATTCTGCTACACCCGGGACGAAGAAGGGGTGAATGCTGAAAGATGGACGGCATACCTGCCGCCACGGATGAAGCCGCAGATCAGCACCTATGGGCTGCTCAAGCAACTCGGGAGGAAAATTCACAGCTCACACCTTATGAAGAACCTCACGTCGTTTGAGCTAAAGGTACATGTTATCTAGGTGGCACACGCCGTTTATTTCTAGGTCACGTCGCACAGGGGCCGTAAAGGAGGTGCAGGCGTAGCTGCATGGCTGAACAAGCTGGCCATGTTCGACGCGTCGAGCCACGGGAACGCCTGTTTCCCCGTCAGTGTACTTGTGCTGACCGAAATGACGAAGCTGCTCGACCGCAATGCCTGCATCGACAGGTCGAGGGTGCAGCAAAACATCAACTGCAGGTAGAAACGCTTTTTCGAAACTGATCCGTTTTTTTCAGGAAGACCCTCTCGGAATGGAAGACGCAGAAGGAAGATTTCGAAACACTGCTGAACCGGGCCCACAGCTTGAACCATGATGTAGTGGACAGAGCTCACGATTTGCTTCGTAGCCTATGGCCAGGCTACACCACCGGAGAAATGGTATATCAATATTTTTTTAATTTTTTAATGCATTTTTTATAGGTCACAGTGGCTGAGGCCTATGAAGTCGCCAAAGAAGTATATCGCCGAAAAATCGGGAGGATGTACTTCTTCGACAAGAGGTTTCTGTCTTTTTTACCAAATAGCTTTTTTTAGTGGTAAGAAGCTGGATGGGAGCCCCAGCTACAATGATGTATGCGGGAGGGTGCTGAACATCCTCTACGACGAGGGCCACCAGCACTTTAAGCCCCTGTACCGAACCCCGCGCCACCTGGAGTGGATCCGGACGGACGCATACGGCAACCCCGAGGTGTTCAGGCTAGATGAGCAGTGCTATGCCTGCGGAGTCTTCCACAACAGAAGCATGCATAAGGAGTGAGTCAGAGCATACTGCTTAAACCTGATTCAGATGCGAACTGAGGTGCCTGAGGTGCCAGAAGCCGGGCAAGACATGCCCCAGCGTATTGCCGGACCCGATCCACTGCCCAGACTGCGACGTCGACTTCAGGAATGACGCATGCTATCGCGAACATCGACCTAGAGTGTGCGGAAAACGGTTGTTCTATTAATTTAACTTTTACAAATTTTTCAGATTTTACTGCAAAAAGTGCAGGTTCTACTACACCAGGACAGTGGACGGGAAGAAGGGTCACATCTGCACGAGGTACCCCTAAAAAAATGGATTAACAAAACACAAATTTCAGGCGATACTGCCAGACCTGCCGATCGATGCAACCTGAGAAGCACGCGTGTATATTCTCGGCAGCGTTCGACAAGCCGCTCTATAGATGGAAAACACAAATATTCACGTAATTAACCCAAAGACTATATTTCTGGCATTTTCAGGTTCATCTTCCTCGACTTTGAGACGGAGGTGGTTCGGTATGAAGGTGGAAGGCTGATTGATGTCCCCCACGAGGCAACACACTGTGTCATCAAGCAGGTCTGCGAAGAGTGCTGCCACGATGAGTAAGTTTGGTAGCTGGCTTCAAAAATATTAAATATAGTTACTGGGCTGCCGAATCGGTGCTTGGAGGCCCGCTAGAGCGCCACGATAGGCCTCCAACCGATCTCCCAGATGAGCCCGACAACCCGCCAGGGCAAGAGCACCGCAGCCGAAAACTCCGGGACCGTGTGATCGTCAAAAAGCCTTCCGGTCAGTGCAGAGGGAAATGCGCTGAAAAAAGGTGACCTGTTTCTTTTCAAAAATCATAACCCTGATTCAGGTTCTCCAATTGGACCGATCAGCAAGGCTGGTGTCATGGGAAGGTGGTCGACGACGTTGTCGACTACCTCCTCTTCGATAACCACGACCGCAAGGTGCCAAAGACGGTAATGGCGCATAATGGCGGTAAGTATTGGGCAAAAATCATATAAAAAAAACTATTTGTTTCAGGAGGCTATGATTGGATCCTCCTCCTGAAGGCACTAATGGCAAGGCAGATCCCCTATAAACCCTCGATGCAAGGCTCAAGAATTGTGCAAATGAAGATTGAGGGCAAGAAGAAGGATGCACAGCCGCAGGGACAGACATTGGCACCACATGAGCGCAAGCGCAACAAGGTTATTAAACTTTTTTCTAAATTCTAGTCTGATATTCAGCTCGTCTTTGTTGATTCATATCGGTACATACCAATCGGGCTGGGCAAGTTTGGAGCAGTCTTCAGTCTCCAGGAAGAGAAGGGCATTTTCCCCGTCTTCGCCAACTGCGACTACTGGAGAGTGCCGATGGGACGTCAGACGGGATGGCCCGGTCGTGAATGGTTCGGCAAGGCTCGATCTGAGGAAGAGGCCCGAAAGGTGATTTTTCAGCCTTGGTTTTAGTAAATTTTTTCACAGATTGATGCGTTCTTGGCGGAGAAGGAAGGGGGAGCCCTTCGATTTGGAAACCGAGCTCTGGAAGTATTGTGACGCCGATGTCGAGGTTAGTCACGTCCGTTACTAACCTATTTTTTGTAGGTTTTGATGAAGGGCGCGATGATTTTCCGCAAAAGCCATGTTGAGCGTGGTGGCTTCTGCCCATTCACCTCATGCTCAACGCTGGCGTCAACCTGCCTGCAATTGTTCCTGATGAAATACTATAAAGGGCAGGACATTGCCATGGTCAAGGAGACCCCACAAGGAGCCGAGCGGAATTATTCGGAGGTAATTCATAGTGGCGTTTTTTTTGGTAAAAACGATTTTAGATTGCCGAAAAATGGCTCTGCTGGATGGAGAAACAGGAGCAGGTGCCTATTCAACGGCAACTGGCACATGGAGGCGAGAAGAAGATTGGATGTGAAGGCCGCACATACTTCGTCGATGGCTATGCCGTGATGCCCGACGGGAAACGAGTGGCCTACGAATTCAATGGCTGCTATTGGCACGGTATGCATACCTTCAAGTTTATCAATTCTTTTGTAGGCTGCCTTTCGTGTTACGGCCCGAACGGAAACCATCCGATGGGACGGCACAGGCTGAGAAGATGCGGCAGAGAAGGGACCGGACAGAACAGCGCCAGTACCACCTCGAGCACTCGAGTAATTTTTAGAGGGCAGTGGAAATGGCTTTTTTTTCAGAAATGCTCGACCACGTCGTCGTCAAATGGGAGTGCGAGTTCGTCAACGATATGAGGGCGAACAAGGAGCTGCGTGATTTCTGCGCCAAGCTCGACAACCCCGGAAGACTGCACCCACGTCGAGCCCTGAAAGAGGTAAATGACTGAGACTGAGGCTCATCTTTTTTCAGGCCGCACCGAGGCGTTCAAGGCCTTCTCGACTCCTGGTAAGACGGTCCATTACCAGGACGTCAACAGGTAGCATTGGTTTTTTGGATTTTATTGTCTTTTTTAGCATGTACCCTCATGTGCAGCGAGAAGGCCGGTACCCTGTTGGCGATGCCCGAATTGAAATGTTCCAAGGGAAAGCAGATCAGATGCCCGCTCATATCATTAGGGTAACGAGCGCTTGTTGTAGTAATTATGCATGAATAGCAAAATGCCAACCGCCCGGTGACCGTCTACAATGAGGGGCTACAGGACGTCGAGAACCGAAACGTGCAAGAAGTCCGTATCTGGGGCTTCCTGTATGTCGATGTGGTCGTGCCACGAGACATCCCGATTGCCCTGCTCCCGTTGAGCGTGAAAGGAGGGCTGCAGTTCCCGGTATGCGGTCGATGTGCCCAGGAGAAGAAGCCTGCCCGGACGTGTTCCCATTCGGACGCTGAGCGGTACCTCCGTGACGTCTACTGGTCAGAAGAACTGCAGGTACGACGAGCACACACCAATTACTTATTTGTAGCTGGCCCTTGATTGGGGGTGCAAAGTGGTGCGAGTGCACGAGACGATGAGCTGGAGCCAGAGCACGGACGACTTCTTCAAAGACTACGTCACGTAACTAATTTCTTGGCCACAGTTCCATTGATTTTTTAGCGATAACATCAAGCGCAAAGTCGAAGCTAGTGGATGGCCGGCCGCGGATATGTCAGAGGACGAGAAGCAGCAATTCCTCGACAACTTCAAGGAGGAAGATGGGGGTGCCTGCCTTGATCGTGAAATCCTCGACCGAGGGATGAACCCGGCAGGGCGGTGGCTGGCCAAGCTGGCCAATAATAATCTTTGTAAGTAAAATTTGAAAAAAAAACACAGCTGATTTTCAGGGGGCAAATTTGGCCAGAAGACGAACCAGTCCACCACCACCATCTGCTATACGGCCGAGCAAGTCGAGAGGATTTGGTGCGACCCGTCCCGCATCATCACCGGCGAGCATTTGATGGCCGATGAGAACGTCTGGATCGTCAGTCACAAGGTAATGAAAAAATACGAATCACAATTAAATTCCAGGGGCATCGTGAGGACATTGTTGCCCGGTCTCGTGGCTCAGTAGCCGTGGCAGCCATCACGACAAGCAGGGCCCGCATCCGACTCAACAGTCTGCTGCTTCAGATCTACCCGAATCAGGTACGGCTAAGGAGAGTGTCATTGGTTTTTTATAGGTCTATTGTGACACTGATTCGATAGTGTTCGAGGGTGGCCCTGTGGAGGAAGACGAGCTCGTCCGCCGCTTCTATGTCCGCGAAGTGGGACCTCAGCTAGGCCAGCTGTCTTCAGAGATCCCCAGCGGCTGGACTTGCCAGAGCTTTGTGTGCCCAGGTTAGTTTAAAAAAGAAAACAGACTTACCTTCAAAAAATATTCAATAAAAAATATTCAGGGTCGAAGCAGTACGCGGCGCTGCTAAAGAAGGATGGGGCCGACGAGTTCAAGCAGATCATCAAAATCCGGGGTATGCAACATTCGAAGAGCCTCAAAACAGAATTTCAGGTATCACCCAGGATCTCAACAACAAGGGCAAGCTGGACAAGGATATTCTACTGAACATGGTGAACCGCTTCATCAAGATGAATCTGGAGAACGCGGCCCCAGATGATGATGATGGTGATGACGACGACGAATACGTCCATTTCATTAATTTCAACTATAAGAATATTAGAAGGACGTCCCCCGGTGTTTTAGAAACTGTAAAAGAGACCAAGAAATATAAGGTGGTCTATAATAAGGGGCATGCTAATGCTGATGGAAGTTATTATCAATATGGGAGGGTAGTTGCAAACGGGTCCCACTAAAATTGTGATTTTTCGATCTAGTCTCTGTATTTTTTGCAGTTTTATATTTTTTGTGTGATATTTTTGAGTCTATTTTCGCGTTCGAATAAATTCTTGTGTTTACGAGAGCACCACATGTCACCGCACATGATCGCAAATGGTGTTGGGGGGAGACGATGATTCAGTGCTTGTACTTGCTTAATGGGGCCCGGGGATCGCGCAGCCAGTCCCCCCCAAAATCTCTTGCCCCGCTAAAAAAATGCCCAAGCTTCAAATTTTCTATAATTATTCTTCGCCCACGCTTGATTTGGATATTGTTCGATACCGCGAGTGTCCAGTGCCCTGCGAATTTGGTCGTTGCTGGGGCGTCAAAGGGTAGGAATCGATTTTTTAGTACCACAGTTTTTTTAAAGTTATTCCATGCCTGTCGCATGCACCGATCTCGAGTCGTTTCTGGCCATTGCCGCCGAGGCCGTCATGAACAATGCCGATGACTTTGGGCCCATGTTCGTCTTCATCTTGACGATCCTGATCCTACTGTTCAAGCTTTGAATCCAATCAATAAACTTGTTAGTCACGCCCATGTAGAGTATAAAAACACGATATTTATTCAAACACACATCAGTTGTAATGTCTGCTAGCCACTGGATTCCGCTGAATGTCTATTTTAACTTGAAGTTTAATCGTGCTGCCAACAAATTTCGGCCTCTTCTGCCTCGTGAGCGTGTGGAATGTGTTGCCGCACTAATGAACAACCCTCTTCGGTGTCGAATGTCGGGAGAAGAGCTCGTGTCTCCGCGTCTGATGTGGGAAACGAACGCCGTGGATGTGGTGGTGCATACGGAAGACGTCAGACTTTCGGGGCCTAAGCGTACGATTGACATGCCAGGGACTATGGGCGTGCCGCTGGACGTCTACTATCGATTGTGCCATGATTTTGATTCAGTTTGTGCATTTGATCCTGTCATTCGTTGCGGAGGTTATAACTACCCTCAAGACGCTGTCGAAATTTGCCTGCTCTGAATAAACGTTGAATTACGATGACTTCTAAAGACACTATTGACAAGTTTCGATTTCGGTGGCCATTTAGCTGCTTCATAGTGGGGCCGTCGAATTCGGGTAAAAGCTTCTTGCTGAAACGGATCGTGCAATGGCTCGACGACCTGACTGACCCCGTTTCGGTGTGCCAAGGGATTCTTCTGTGCTACAGTATCGATCAGCCGCTCTACCACGAGCTTGTGGCCATGGACTCGAGAGTTCGCCTCTTTCAGGGGCTTCCGAGTGACGCCGACATTGAGAGCCTCGAGAAGCCACATTTCATTGTGATCGACGACCAATGCACCGAGTTGAAGAGGAATAAGACTGTTGTTGACCTGTTTACGAAAGGAGTCCACCACCGCAACCATTCTCTGGTCGTAATTTCTCAAAATGCATTTTGTGGAGACCGTACGAGCCGGGTGAACGCATCCTACCTGATCCTGACAAAGAACAACGCAGACAGAAACCAAGTTCGGGTGCTAAATTCTCAAATATTCCCCGGAAGCCGTTTCCTGGTCGACGCATACGAGGATGTCTGTGCCTCTGACCCCTACGGCTACTTGGTAATCAATAATCACGTGCTGGCTGACCCGAGGCAACGACTTGTCACGCATATTTTCCCAGATGACGTGGGCGGAGAGATTGTCTATTTGCCTCGATAGGGGAGCGCATTCACTCAAAGATGCCGCGAGCCGCTGACAAACGTCTAGTCGCCAATTTAACCTTTTTGCAGCGTCTGAATTCGTCACGCGACCGACGTAGGATTTTGCGTAAAGCTTCCCGCGATGAGCTGGGGTGTCTCGTCGAGTCGTTGTTCAATGTACGGTCGGGCAACGTGCCTCTTCACAAGTATGAGCATCGCAAGCTGAAGCGACACATGGAAACGATAGATCGGTTGGCCCGACAACGTCAGGCAGAGGCGGCGCGTGCCGGTCTCGTGCAGTCTGGCGACTCCATTCTGCCTATCATTCTACCTGCACTCATCGACTTGGCCACACGTGTGCTATTCTAATGTTTCGAAAGATGCGCCTCGTTCCGTTTAATCAACCAGGGCCGCCAGCGGCAACTTTTAACGAGAAACCGCTGCAGGGTGCCGGCACTGAGTTTACGCGCTTCACGCAGGACGATGCCGATAAGCAACGGCTCAAGGAGCTGGACACTCGTATGCAAAGTACACTTGAAAACGATCGTCTGCCTGAACATGTCAAGACACACGTCTATAATCAACTGCTAGCTGTTTTCACCGATCTTTTGAGTGAGTTGAGGAGGCGTCAGCCACAAGGAGAGCCCCGTCTACCGTCGCCTAATCGATACCCGGCTCCCCGAAAACGGTCGCCGTCCCCAGGTCAACGTCAGCCGACTACAAAGAAGCAGCGTAAGGCTCAGGCTGAGAAGGTCCGTGCCGAGAAGGCCCATGCTGAGAAGGCTGAGCAGACACTGGTCGAGCAGACCGAGAAGGTTGAAGACGACCCATCACCACGCCGGCTACGCAGTGGCTTGAAGCTGGGAAAGCCACTAATGCAAGAAATCAAAAAGACTTTTCCATACAACAAGGCTACAAAGTCTCGAGAATTTGACGGCATGGAAGTACCAGAGACCGAGCTTCACAAGATTGTTGCTCATTTGAATACACCGGAATCCAAACGTAAAGCTGTCCCGCCGTATTTGGGCACCGTCATTGATTCCCTGGAAAAAGCCAGCCCAAATTCACCGGTAGTGGCTCAGTTCCGCACGCCTACGGCGGCGACACCGATGCCTAGCCGTCTCTTCACTCCGCAGCGTTACTCACGCTTTATGCACTAATGCCTACACTTGAGGAGTTGTGGACTTCGCTAGACGGGCCGACTGCCTTCTCTTCGGCTACAGCGCTTCGCCGCGCCGCTAAAGCCCATGGATACACGAGAGCCAAAGTTGACGAGTTTTTGCGTGGAACTCCTAGCCAATACGTTCACGCGCCTGCCCGTGTCAGGTACCCGCGTCTAAAGATGACCTCCTACCAAAGCTGGACCGATCTTCAGGCAGATCTGGGTGACCTTTCCGACCTGGCCGAGTGGAACGATGGCATGAAGTGGCTGCTTCTGGTCGTCGATATTTATTCGAAATTTATTATGGTGGCCCCACTAAAAGACAAGCGGCCTGCTGGAGTGGCAGTTGAAATGCGAAAAATGTTTAATCCCTGGATTCCTTACAATTTGATGACCGACCAGGGCAAGGAGTTCACTTCGGGAGCCATGCTTGACCTATATAAAGACCTGGAAATTAACCATTTTACTCTCAGAGGCAGCGATCAGAAGGCCCAGGTGGCGGAGGCTCATCTCAAGACGATCAAGTACAAGATTTATCGATATTTCACGCATTACAACACTCGACGCTGGGTGGACGTGGTTCACAAGATTGCCGACACTCTGAATCATACGCGAAGCAGTGTAACTGGGATGCGTCCCGTCGACGTGACACTAGACACGCGTCTTCCGGAGCAGCATGTGCGTATCGCCGACGATTCCCGCTTCAATGTTGGCGACACGGTTGTGCTGTCTAATCGACGCCAAACATTCCAGAAGGGATTCCGAGGTCTCTGGGGTACCGAGCTGTTTGTCGTCCGTCACGTCGACATGCGCATACCAGTGACGTATCGCGTGGCCGATCTGAACGGAGAACTGGTTGAGGGTCGCTTCTACGAGCAGGAACTTCAGCGGGCCGAGAACCGTGAAGGTGTCTACAAGGTGGAGAAGGTACTGCGCGAACGACGACGGCGAGGGAAAATTGAGTACTTTGTGAAGTGGCTGGACTATGGCGACGAATTCAATTCATGGGTGGCTGCCGATGACGTCGTTGACCTGACTCCAAGACCGCCTACTTGAAATATTCGATAAAAATTTTTTTGTTTCATTAATGTCTAGCACATCAAGCGAATCACACACCAGCACGGCATCGGTGAGATGCACGGGGCCATACCGTATGCGAGAAGTACGTCTTCTCAGCACTATGATAGTAGTTTTTGTATTACTGATACTCTCTTCTTTTAGTATAGGATGCGACCTGTATTACAAAAATACATTGAGCGAAAAGACCCTGATGATAGTGGGCGGAACTCTTTGTTTACTCTCTCCGTCCCCTGTGTTCCCTTTGAATGCAGTTGACAGATGTAAAGACATTCCACCGTCAGTCTGAAAAAAATGCACCAAGACGATTCCTTCTATGTTTTGTTGACGAGCAATGCCGACGACTCATCGGAAAACACGTCATCTGTCTTTCTGAATCGTATGCCTAATCATATTCGGCTGTATGACCTCGATGGACGTCCAAATAGATGGGAAGTAGGACTGACAGAGTTGCAGTCATGCTATTCATGGGAGAATTCTCCTGAAGACGAGACTTTTCAGATATTTTATAAAAACGGAAAAGTACGAATAATCGTACTGCCTAAGGGACACTATGACGATGCGGAAGAATTGGTTGGAGGGCTCAATGCTGCTCTGATCCAGCAAGGAGGTCGTCGACGTCGCGATGCAGACCTCGATGCCGAATATGATTACAATGCACCTGAACTTGAGCGCCCGTCAACTTCGCCTCTGTTTAAAAAGGCAAAAGTCGACACTGAAACGAAGGAAAAGCCCGAGGAAAAGCCCAAGGAAAAGCCCGAGGAGAAGCCTAAGGAAAAGCCCGAGGAGAAGCCTAAGGAAAAACCCGAGGAGAAGCCTAAGGAAAAGCCTAAGGAAAAACCCGAGGAGAAGCCCGATGAGAAGTCTAAGGAGAAGCCTAAGGAAAAGTCCGAGGAGAAGCCTAAGGAAAAGCCTAAGGAAAAGCCCGAGGAAAAGCCCGAGGAGAAGCCCAAGGAGAAACCCAAGCCACAATTTGAAGTTGTTTCAGGTCGTGTCGTCGAGCCTTCGTTACCTGCCTTCTCTTTACCTCAGAAGACCACACCCACACCCGCGGCTCCTTCAGGGTCAGGCTCATTCAGTCATTTGAAAGATGCCACGCAAACGCCGCTCAACAAGGACCCCGCGCGTCCGTCGTCGCAGAACCCGGAGCAACACTACCTCCCTCCCGAAGCGCTCAGTTCCGATTCGCTTTTTCACAGGGAGAAATCGCCGTTCCATGGTCAAGTTCTAGAGACGTCCGGAGTGTATTTCAGCTATGACCGCGCTGCTAATAGAATTATAATTACGCTCGATGAAAAGACCGTTAATATAGTAATTCTCTCAGCGGCCCTCATTCACAAGTGTGGTTTTGACAGCGCTCAGTCGCTGGATTCTAAGGAAACTCGTGCAAAGTATTCTGCCGATATCCGCCCCGGTACCTTCTACTGTTATTCAGACGTGGTCGAACCCACCATTGTCGGGGGCAGACTTGTACCTCTTCTCAGGGCCATAACAATTGAAAATGTCCCCTTTGGGCACTCCTTTTCCCGTGAATTCAACACTGTCCAGTACCGGCGTGTACACACTAATGATATCCAATCGATAACGATGAAGCTTGCCGACGCACAAGGCCAGCCCCTTCGCCATCACTACGGGAACACCGTTGCCTGTCTTCATTTTCGTCGAGTCTACTAGCCATGACGCACGTTCGCTATTACAAGCCCTTCGATCCCGATGAGCTCGACTGGACACCCGTTTTCGAGCAGCAAACGGGAGGCATGGCCCACTTCCCAATGTTTATTGGCAACCCGTATCAGCGAGGAAGCTCTGTCTGGGGGTCAATCGTTCGCTTCCTGATGCCTATCCTAAAAAGAAGCGGTAAAGCAGTTGGTAAGGAGCTCATTACAACAGCCGGGAAAACTCTATCCGACTTGTCATCCGGAGCCGATCTGAAAGAGTCACTAAAGAAGCATGGCAAGGAGTCGGCCATACGCTTGATCGACCGAGGTGCAGCTGCTGCAAAGACAAAAATGGGCGGGGGTAGGAAGCGAGCCAGTCCTATCGCAGTCGTCATTCCAACCAAGAAACGTCGCACTGTACGCCGCCGTCGCCGTAATATTCTAGCACCACTATAATGATGCAAACCTTGTCCGAAGAATCCGAGTTTGCCTATAGCTCGGAGCTTAACCTATTCTCAACGCCGCCAACATCTATCGGAATCCATCAGCTGCGCACCCGAGTCATCAATCTCGACTCAACGCTGACGCAGGAAGGCCCATGGTCATTCACGATCGTCAAACAACACCACCCAATCAGTCTGGCTCGATCAACCGTCTATGTGGAAGCCCATATAGAAGGCGTCGGGGGCCAGGCCATTGTCCCAACAGAAGCCAAGAATCGCGCAGCCCCTGTGAATTTTCTCGGCAAGGCCCTGTTCCGCAACGTGGTGCTCAGCCTCAACGGGATTCCGGTCGTGGAAACCGGTAACCTTAACCCGTACCGGCAATTTTTCGTCAATGAATTCTGCCGTGAAAAGGATGAGAAAGAGTACGGACTTGGGAAAGCGGCTTTCTACACTCAAAAAGAGAACGGGAAGGAGCAGCCTACTAACCCTGGGCACCAGCAACGTGTTGTATGGAGCGGCCACAAGAACAAATTCCAGCTGAATTGCACGCTGGATTTGGGAATTGAGCAGTCTAACCGGCTCTTATTAAATGGGATGGACATGTCTCTTCAATTGTTCCGGTCCCCCGATGAATTCGTGATCAACGAGTACGATGCTGGCGACTACAGGTTTCGACTCGTCATCCACAACATCCAGCTGCGTCTTGTTGAGGCGGTTTGCTTCGATCAGACGATATCTGCCGTCAATCGCATGCTGGCAAGCGGGAAGCTCGCCAAATATCCGTGTCGCCAAATGGTCACCAAAAACTTTTACGTGAACAAGGGGGTAACATTGACACAGGAATTTGTTTGTTTCTCTGGGAATCAGGTGCCTAGGCGCATGTTTGTCGGTATTGTGAATGCCGATGCGCTTTCTGGCAGCTTTGCCCACGATCCTTTCCGTTTCCATCATTATAACCTGCGTAATATTTATGTTGATTTTTGTGGAATTACCGTCCCTTTACGTCCATATAACCTTGACTATGAAAATCACATGTTTCTTCCTGTATGGCAGCAAATGTCTGAGAGCCTGGGATTCACCGGAAGCGGGCGCACTAATGGCATTACCCCTGATATGTTTATGGATTCAAGGTGTGTCTATGTCATTGACCTGCTGCCTTCGAGCCTGGATAACATTGAGGCTGAGTTCCAGCTGGCTCTGCGTGGCTCTTGCGGCCTACGCTTGGAGTTTAGCAAAGCCCTCGAGGAGTCGGTCCAGGTCGTCGTCGCCGGGGAGTTCAATGGGCTCATCACAATTGACGCCCAGCGCCAGATCTCTGTGCTTCCCATTTGATGGATACCGACCAAATTGACCGCCTGTTATTTGCGCACCCTATTGCAAATCGCTATTTTCTGGGCACCTTTGCCGCCGATCAGATTCCTGTCCCCTCACGTCGCCCCTTTACAATTGTCGTTAATCTGAGTGTCGCTTCCGACCCTTCAGGTGGCACCCACTGGGTAGGCATCATGGGGGATCGGCAACGACGTCTATGGTATTTTGATAGCAGCGGCTCTGCGCCGCCGTCTCGAGGCCCTATTCATGAATGGATTAATAAATTTTCGAAGCAAGTCTATTTTAATCCGTATCAGCACCAGTCACTATTCACGCGTACATGTGGAGGATTCGCCGTGTGGTTCGTGACAGAGTCGAGCCGCGGGACCCCATTTGCTAAGCTGGTTTCGGCGCTCGAGGCCGTGAAAGATGACGACAGGTTCATTGTGCGCTACATGGCTCGCGAATTCAACTTTGAACTGCCGCTTTTCTGAGAGGGTGTGGTCTCACTGTCATATAAAAGCCCTGAAGCCGCATCAGTCCCCTCAAACAATGCCTGAAGCACCTGAAGCCGCATCACTCCCTCCTCAAACAGTCCCTGAAGCGCTTGTTGCCGTCGTTCCTCCACAAAAAATGTCTGAAGCACCTGTTGCCGTCGAAGCCCGCGCTCTGAATCTTGTAGAGCAGCGGGAGGATGATCCGAATCTCGCTAATCTCTCATCGATGGATGATTTCACAACCGTCAAGGACATGGATGATTTTTATAGGACCATGATGCACGGCATGCTGTTTTTCTATCGGTACCGTCGCAACGGAGACCGCTATGCCAATTCTGAAATCTACCCAAAAGAAGTGCCCGCGCTAGTCAAGGCAGGAAAAGTCTTCAAGCCATTGGACATGAATACGGAAATTACTATCACTGGATGGCCTGAGGACCTGTACCCGTTTCACTGGATTATGCACCCGTATCCTAGCTGGATCAAGAGCGCAAAGCTCGATTGGGCTGATTCACCCGAAAATTAATATTTTTTTCTCATTTTCACAATCTATCATGGGGGTGTGGCATCGCGTTCCGAGAGGGTATAAATAGCTGCCGGATCTGCCGCCAAATCATTCTTCTGCCCCCAACATGACCAACTTCAAGCCCATTTCCAACATGGATGAGTTTTTCGAATGTATTCTTGGCGGATTGATGTTTCTGCCTCGATTTGACGCCGACAAAATAAAATCTGGATCCATTACCGCTGAAGATGTGCCGACGCTTATTCACGACGGGAAGCTCCTGAAGTCGGTCCCTGTCGAAGAGGGCGAAATCACTGAAGACTGGCCTGAGCAGCTTGTGCCGTTCACGTGGCATCTGCTTCCACATGCAAACGATGAGGAGACAAAGATTATTGATGCCCTAGTCGAGGAGAGTGCCAAGATTGATGCTCCTAAGCGAGGCCGTGGTCGCCCTAGAAAGACCAAGGCCCCGGAATCTGGAGAAACTCGCCCAAAGGTTCGTCGGACCCAGAAGACTGTTGCTGCTCCCCTGATGCGTTTTGAGGTATGTTGCAGAATTTGTGCCTTGACATGGCATCGATGGCTATAAATTCAAATTTTCAGGAGCTCAACCTAAAACCTCTAGCTGTTGTCTCGTTGTTTGCGGATGCTGAAGGACGTATGCGTGTCAGCACTCTACCCCGCATGGAGATGGTGAACTTCGAATAACCGCGGAACAATAACCCTGGATCTATTGTAATAGACCTAATAATCTGGTTTTTTTTGTATTCATACCCGAATAATCTGGTTTTTTGTATTCATACCCGAATAATCTGGTTTTTTGTATTCATACCCGAATAATCTTTTTTTGTATTCATACCCGAATAATCTGGTTTTTTGTATTCATACCATAATAATCTGGTTTTTTGTATTCATACCCGAATAATCTGGTTTTTTTGTATTCACACCCGAATAAACATTTTTTGAATAACATTTTTTTCTGAACTATACACACGCATTTTACTGACCTAGATCTTTTCATGATTAAACAATACAGAACAAGCAAAAAAATGGGCGGGGCACTGTTCACCGATATATAAGCAGCTAGTCTGGCTAGAAAATCAGTCTCCCTAATCCACCACCACCACCAACACCGCCAACATGTCGTCTGCTGATGCTCGCCTCGAAGCCCCTGCCCCTGTCACTGACGCCGTTCAATACGATTTTGCGCCTATCACCGACGCCGTGCAATACATCACCTGGGGCATGCACGGAAATCTCTACATGGAACGCCAATTCTGCGTTGGACCCATGCTCATCTTTGACGAAGGGATCCCGGACCTCATCGAAAACCAGCGGTTTTTCCGCAGAGTTCACTTGCCTTCTGGAGAGACGCCGCTTCGCAAGCGCTCGGAGATGGTGCGCTACTTCTGGGAGAACAATGGCGAGGGCGAGATGCAGCTTATCGCCTACTACCCTGCTACCGAAATGGCTAAAGAAACTGCTCCTCCTGCTACCATATGCCCTGGTGCACCACCCCGCCGTCGGGCCAGCTCTCGTCTGTGCTCCATTGCTGCTTCTGCGAAAATCGCTGCTGATGCTGCTGTGAAAATCCCATCTACGCCAACTTCTCGACCATACAGGGTAAGCGTCTTTCCATATTTTATTCTGATTCCAAAATTTTATTACACTAATAATATTTTTTGAATTATAGAAGGGCTTCGCCACCCCCAAGCGACCTGCACCCTCCATGGCTGACTCCCTTATCCGTGCCCCACGCCGTCTACGATGCCAATAAGCCTTCAGCCTTGTTCCTTTGTGTCGATAAAATTTGAACCTAACACCTCACTGTCTGGCACCGAACGCGCCGAATAGCTAGATAAACAAATAGGATATTTTAGGGGTCGGGCACACTCGAATATAAGCATATCTCTAAAAAATTATCTGTGCTATAATAAAAACTTGTTGGCTATATGCTGACCTCTTGGCATCTAGCCAAGTCATCTGGCGGTGTGGACCGCTTGGCACGTTCAAATTCCAAAGAAGAGTCGTCATTTGGTGGCGGAAAGGGCCACATGGTACACTCAAAATCATTAAATTATAATGCACGTGTATTATTATGGTACTGATACTGTTGGGCGGGCCTATCGTCGGAGTATATAAATAGGAAAAGCCACCGCTCCAAAGTCAAACATGTCCACCGACGATTCGCATCACGACTATGCCACCGTACGCAATATCGACGATTTTTTGAACGCTGCTTGCGCCTTTCCAGGCTTATTCATGCATCGCCGAGACGTTGCACAAATCCCTTGTAATACAATTTTTGCCGATGAAATAGGCATTCTTGTGCGCAATCGAAAAATCTTTAAACGAATCAAACTGAGTCCCTCTCTATTCCCCTGGTGGCACGCTGCCGACATGGTACCTCTAATCTGGTTTATGCCACCCCCTAACACGGACGTTGGATATGCCGTACACGTCGTATCTCGACCCCAGATGCATACAAATCCTATTGTACGTCCGAGACGCCTCAAGAGATCGGCCTCTTTTGGCGGCTCTCGCGGCTCCTCTAGAGCTGTGGAAAGAACGTTGACACAACGCCTACGGTTAGAAAATCTTCCAAAATTTCAACTAGTTTTTTAGGGACGTTCGATTAGACCATCCATACGCCAAACCCAGTGAGGCCAAACCCAGTGATGCCAACGATATGGACTGGACTATCCATGTGGTAATTTATTCTAGGTTTATTTGATATATGCAAATTACAATAAAAATTCAAATTTCCAGATTGAAGGCACCCTCCAAGATCCCATGCTGTCGGATTCGCCGCGTGGCCAGACGTACCCTTCATTCTAAATCATACTGTATCCATTTCATACTGTATCACAAAAATAACCTTGTAATCTGAGAATAAAAAAATACCCGCCTACATTCAGTGTTTATAACACATCTGAGCCTGAAAATTTGCTTACTCGACATAAAGAAAGTTTTGCTTACTCGATCAAATGGCCATACAAACCTTCAGCCATTTCCTGCCGGTCCCCCGGATTGGCATGGCTCACCTCCCCTCTATGGAGGGTCAGCTAGCCATCCCAGTCTGGGGTACCCCTCTAGGGGTCACCTGGCACCCTGCCAATAACACACACACATACAAAGAGGGGACACGGGACGGAAGCGGGGGGACACCTGTAAACTTTTTTTGTACACTAACCATTACACAACCACCACTTACCCCCCACCACCACTTGACATTTCGCGCATCCGGACATCACTTCCTGCACCATTACGTAACACCACTTACCGGAACCTCTTATTTACCTGCTACACTTACTGGCACCTCTTATTTACCTGCTACACTTACCGACACCTAATAATTGATACCACATAATTGATACCACTTAATTGATACCACTTATTTATCTGCTACACTTACTGACACCTAATAATTGATACCACTTATTTATCTGCTACACTTACCGACACCCAATAGGATACAACTTATTTATCTGCTACACTTACCGACACATAATAATTGATACCACCACTTATCCCTTTATCTAACACCACTTACCTGGCGGCACCCTTTACACTTACCGTTACCGCACACCCTAATTGACACTTAATTGACACCACTTACTGACACCCTGGCGGCACCCTTTCAACTACCCTCCTCCACCTCGAGACGCCTGTGTCTGGCCTCTCCCCCCACTACCCCCTCTCTACTCCCTCCTCCATACCCCTCTTGCCTTTTTTCTCTGTATCTCTCTATTTACCCACTATCTCGCCTGCAGTGGTCGCGCGTACATATAGTA